TCGATTATTTTACAGTATAATATAAATAAAAAAATATTTCTAACATACAAATGCATTGTTTTGGAATGCAAAAAAAAACAAGATTGGCAAAACAGTTGTTTGAGTTTTTTTTTGTGATGGTCTTTCTGAATTGTGAATTTTTATTTATTTTTTTTTGTGAATAGTGTTGGTGACACTTTTTTATGGTCTTTGGCCTCCTGGAATTACCCTTTGCATTTTTAGAAATCAGAGTTTTGGTGGGAAATTAGGTGGGCAGATTTGGTCCATTTAGAGGGATCCAATATAGAGTAGCCTGGATTTGGGAGGATGCACTGCACTGCATATTTTTCCCTTGTATCGTCCCCCTCCCCACATCGTTCCCTTCCCCCACGTTGTCCCCTTCCCCCACATTGTCTCTTCCCCCACATCATCCCCCTCCCCACATTGTCACCCCCCACAGTGTCCCTCCCTTTCATTCTCAGCCTCCTCTACTCCCCCACTTCCCCTCTCTCCCAGTTCTCTCAAAATTTATAATTACGAAGCAGTGGAAACTATTGGGGAAACGACAAATATTTCATGCTTGACTTCATGAAAATTGAAGTACAGTACTGTACTGTTCTGTATTTAACTTTGTTGATTGAGGTTAACCTGTGTCCATCCTGTGCCTCAGACCATTTTCCCCTGCAAGGTTTGGTGACGCTAAAGCCAAGCATTAGCCTTGAATCCTGGACACCTTTCCCCCGCCCCCCGAAGGGAAAGAACTGGTTGTAAGGTGTACAAAACACTGCGGATAGAAGAAAGTCCAAATTTTGTATTGGGTGTTTAGAAAAAGAAATATCTCATCATCAAATATCATCTAGAAATATCATCACACAAACATTCATACTAAAACAGAGATGCAGAACCAGAAAACAGGATTCGTTCAACAGAAATTGTGAGAGGGCCAGAGGAAAAGACAAGAAAATGGGTGCAATATGGGAAGCGGTCCAACCCTTAAACTTCCCAGCACTACAAGCAAACAAGAACAAATACTGTACACAGGAGTGAGGAGAGAGGAGAGAGGCAGAAAGGAACTTTGAGAAAGGGGGTATCTTCTTGAGATGAGACGATTTCAAGGCTTTAGTGTCCCCGCGGCCCGGTCCTCGACCAGGCCTCCACCCCAAGGAAGCAGCCCGTGACAGCTGACTAACACCCATGTACCTATTTTACTGCTAGGTAACAGGGGCATAGGGTGAAAGAAACTCTGCCCATTGTTTCTCGCCGGCGCCTTGGATCGAACCCAGGACCACAGGATCACAAGTCCAGTGTGCTGTCTGCTCGGCCGACCGGCTCCTTGTTACTAGCCAAGTTACTCTCAGCTACTAGTAAACTCTTTAACTAACCGTGTGTACTCACCTAGTTGTGCTTGAGTGGCTTGAGCTTTGGCTCTTTGGTCCCACCTCTGAACCGTCAATCAACTGGTGTACAGATTCCTGAGCCTACTAGGCTCCATCATACCTACATTTGAACATTTGTGTGTTGCAGAGGGTGGGTAGGGACTACACAAAAGCATGGGAAGGTTTAAAATTGTGATGGTGTTGATGTACCCATCACATGGAGGGAGCCGGTCGGCCGAGCGGACAGCACACTGGACTTGTGATCCTGTGGTCCCAGGTTCGATCCCGTGCGCCGGAAAGAAATAATGGACAAAGTTTCTTTCGCCCTATGCCCCTGTTACCTAGCAGTAAAATAGGTACCTGGGTGTTAGTCAGCTGTCACGGGCTGCTTCCTGGGGGTGGAGGCCTGGTCGAGGACCGGGCCGCGGGGACACTAAAGCCCTGAAATCATCTCGAGATAACCTCAAGATACCCAAGTGTGATTGTATCTAAGGGTATGTCACACTTAAACAATCTCTCCAAACGCATGCAATGAGAAGATAACCCATGCACAACTTGGAGTACCTGCAAAGACTGGTGTTTTATTACTGAAATTAAAGTTGCCATAATTAAAAGCTAAATAATAACAACTTACATTTAATCAACATAAACACAAAACTAAAAGCAATCACAAGCTGGAGACCTTGTGGCCCTATTGGGATGTTTGGAATTTATTTACCCAGCCTAACAAACTTAAATAAAGCCAAATTAGTTTTATATAACTGTACTGTAATAATAGTACCACTCACCTCATTTAAAATTGTAAAAAAAGTTATTACAGTGCAACCTTGATTATTTGGAATCATTTGTACGTCCAGTGTACAAATAATCATACTGTACTTATATCCAAAATTTTGCCGTGATTTTTAGTTTGATTTCACTTAGTGTAATAACTGATGAAGGGACATCCTATGCTCTACATCAACAACACTCATACCATTTTCATGTTTATGAATGATCTCTTGTTTTTCCTCTATTGTTATCCTTACATCTATTTTCTTAGGTTGAACTTTACCACTGACTGACTTGGGACCCATGGCGTGATATATAATAACTTTTATGTTCAAAAAGCAAAAAAATCAGGCAATGTATTTCTTCAAAGAATTCAAACGTGGTCATCACTACACAGTAAACAAACTGAGTGTACTTTGCCCTGCACCCCGAACACCACGAGCTCGTTCAACTCACGCGTATGAACAGACGTTGTCTTCCAAGTAAACCTTCGTGCACCAATTCAAATTTCATGATGAATTTGGCGTCGTCAACCAAAAAATTTGCCTTCTAGGGCAGTCGTCAACCGAGGTTCCACTGTATAATTTTTCTAAGATTAAGAGGGGGGGTGGGGATATTTAAAAGGAAGGAGGGAGGGAAGGAAGGAAGGAAGGAAGGAGGGAGGGAGAGAGAGGAGCAAAATGGAGAAGTGAGAAAGTGGGTACAGGGGGGGGGGAGACCTGGGCTCAGCCAGGTAGCCCCCTCTATTGCTCTATGGGGCAAGTTTCACTGAGCAACATTATAATTTTAACTTATGACAGACATCTACCTGCAGAGCCTGACTGGAACAAAATTTCACCCTCATCTCTAGTATTTCCCAGGATCCAGGGGCCCAGATTTACGAAGCAGATACGCAAGTATTTATGAACATGGACATCTTTTCTCAATCTTTGATGGCTTTGGTTACATTTATTAAACAGTTTACAAGCATGAAAACTTGCCAATCAACTTGTGTTATTGTTATAAGCAGCCTCCTGGTGCTTCGGTGCTCATTAACTGTTTAATAATTGTAAACAAAGCCGCTAAAGATTGAGGAAAGATGTACAGGTTTCGTACGTGCTTGCATAACTGCTTCCAGAATCTGGTCCCAGGCCCCTAAATCTTATTTATCAGAGCCTATCAATTTTTTTTTTAGCACTAGATTTTATGAAATGTCTTGGCAACTAGTTACAATAAATAATTGAAGGAGACTTTTAGCCGTATTTAGAGAAACATTTCTGACACCTCTGAGTTAGACTGAAATCTGCGCCTAACAAAACTGATCATGTTTTATCACTTGCAAAATGAAAACCATATGTAAGATTTTTTTCCAAAATGGATTCATTGCCTTTCCCAAACTGCTGTCTTAGACAAGATTTTCTGGTAAATGTTTTATTACTCCTATGAAAACAGTATTTAAGCGTGGGTCAATATTCAAAACTCTTCACTGATAAGTAAAATTCGTCTTTTTTTTTTGTTTTGTTTTTTTTCGAGTTTTTTTTTTTAACCGGGCAAATCTTTTGTCGAGCCTGGTCCCAGGTCGGGCTCTGGGTGTAGAAGAACTCTCGGAACCCTCTACAGGTATGCCCCAAGTGTCCTCCCCCCCTCCCCATCTACTTTTTACTCACACCCTATTTTCCTCATGATAAGAATTCACATCTGTTTTAATTAATAATTTTGGAGGTATGTATGCTCTGTCATTTTCCGAATAATAACTCTGGAAATTACACCAACGTAAACTTATCTGTAATGTTTAAATAATAAATTCATGGATAATGGGGTTAATTTCTCCACAAACTCCCTTCTCCGAATAATCCAAGAATCTGGAGAAGGGAGATTTGGATAATGGGATTCCACTGTAAATCAATCCAATTTGTCCAGCTAATTGGTACCTTTATCTAGTGATATTGCCGAAGTTCTAATTATTGTGCATAACATTGCTGTTGTAGTCCTGTACAGGGGGTGGCGAAGGGTTGTGTAGGTGGGGCAGAGTTTGGAAAGCTGGTGGTGAGACTTTGCGTAACTGTGCGAGTAGTGCCCACTTAGTTAATATTATGCATCAGCTACAGTACTTTACTACGTATTATTTTAGCACCTGCATATTAGAAGTAACACTCGAGTAGCGGAGGTAAGGTTTATATGGCAGCAGAGGATAGATTCGTGTATCTATATCGTTGTAGTAATTACTTAACCTGCTGTAGTGCTTACGCTGGTAGTGACAGTGTCTCGGGTCTGGCTGGAAGGTGTCGACGTGGTGTAAGTAGCCAGTTCTAGTGCTTGGTAGTAATGGTAGCTTTTGTTTGTTTGACTCGAGCTTTTGATCATCCTGCACAAGTCTTAATAATTTTATCAAGTTGCTTGTATCTTATAAGACAGTTGTGTACCTGGGGAAAGAAGGTACAGAGTACAGTACTTCCTTTTGATTACTGCCAGTAATTGACTAGTAATTAGTTTGAAAAAAAATTAGTTTAGATAAATTCCGATATTTTATATTTTTATTTTTTGTTATTCTGTTTAGCCTTACTAGCTTTTAAATTCTGTATGCTCTCCTGAAATGTTTGATCACAGTACATTTTCTTAATTTGTAATGAAATGTTTTTCATTCATGTAATATCTGTATTTTGCATTTTCGACTATTGGGTTTTCGTATTTATCTAGAAAGTGTTTTCACAAGTTAATCCTGTTTTTTTTTAAATATGCCTGTAGAGGATAGATTACTTAGGATGGACTAGTTAGCCCCAAAAACAATAATTTTGCAGCAGGTATTATGTTATTTGTAGGTTTCGAATTGAAAAGCACATGCAGGTTTAATAGCTGAGCGGAGTACTATGCATCCTTTTTTTTCTTTTTTTTCAGAAACTAGAAGAACTCAACAAATTCACAGACTTCAACAAATATCTTATATTTGTCCTCACAAAACTAACTTCTGAAGGTAAATACATAGGCAGTTGAGTTACGTCGTAAGGTAAATATATATAGGCAGTTAAGTACAGTGTATCTTCATACCGTTAAATGTCTTCAAGCGTTTATTTAGCTGTTTGGCTTATTTATTTATTTTTCTATTTATTGTGACCTGCATAATTTCGTAGCCATGCTGGATAACAAGGTGTAGGCTCCGTCATTTTGTAGGTAGTATGCAATGTAATTTATTTATTGTGTTTTATTCAAGTTGCACTAATTTTAGATCTTCGGATACTTGACGCATTTGGTTATACAGTACCGCTTAATTGATTCTTAGCAAACCTCACCACCATCAGATCCTATTTGAAGAAATTCTATTATGCACTTCTTAATTCCTTTTTTACTGTCATGTTCAGTTTTTTTGTCTTGTTTTTCTTACCATAGTTTCCCCCCCTTTGTTTTTTGCCAGATGAACCTACAAGATCCCTAAGTGGGCTAATTTTGAAGAATAATGTCAAGGCACACTTTCATCAGTTTCCCCCTGATGTGGCACAGTTTATTAAGGTTAGTATTACGTTTTGTTTTGAGACGTTCCTTTGTTTCCGAGCTTTTTACCGTTTCTTTGCATTTTAAACATTCTCTTGTCTGTATTTTACATCTAAAGATATAGAAAGCTTACTATTATTTAAGGCATATTAAACCAGTAATTTATAAATATGAGTACAGTTCTTTATTATGTTTGCAGTTTGCATGAAAATGTGTGTTATTATTGGCAGACATTTTTAATGCCTTTAGTTTTCAGTAAGTGGGCTACTGTAGTCGGATGTTTCTTCAAAATAACATCTTATATACTTCATAAAGTTTTGGAATGACATAAGGAAAAACTGGATACAATATTATGTGTAAGAAAGTACTTAAAATTTATATTTTAATATATTTACTTTGCACTCTTCAGGCAGAATGTCTGTCAGCGGTGGGGGACCCTTCGCCGCTCATCAGAGCGACGGTCGGTATCCTTATTACGACAACAGCATCAAAAGGCGAACTTTCGACTTGGCCCGAACTCCTTCCTAGGCTGTGCGAAATGTTAGACTCCGCGGACTACAATGTTTGTGAGGTACAGTACCAGTATAACGTGGTAGACGGTGGATCTATATTGGATGAGTATAGATTTTGGCAAGACTTTGATAAAGGCTGGTTTTGAAACAAGGTTATTGTTTTATAGAACAAATTGCCAGCTAATAATTAGTGTTGTGGCTGCTTTCCTCGAGGCGGCTTGACGGTCTTGTTTGCCTGGTACCTCTTATATGAAAAGCTGGACATCTCAAGGTAGGTAAGGTAACATAATAAAGATGTGATCACTGTAGCTTAAACACAGACAAATGAGTTAGGGTGGAGCCTGACACCTGAGCGGACAGCGCTTTGGATTCGTAGTCCTGAGGTTCCGGGTTCGATCCCTGGTGGAGGCGGAAACAAGTGGGCAGAGTTTCTTTCACCCCTGATGTCCCTGTTCTTTGAGCAGTAAATAGGTACCTGGGAGTTAGACAGCTGCTATGGGCTACTTCCTGGGAATGTGTAACAAAAAGGTCTGGTTGAGAACCGGGCCGCAGGGACGCTAAGCCCCGAAATCATCTCAAGATAACCTCAAGATAAGGGTGGATAGAATAGGAGGCTGCCTGGTATGGACCAGTTGACCTTCGGGAGTTTCCATTATTCATATATTCCTATTTATTGCTGATGTGTTTTATGGATTAGGCCTCTTGCTAGTACCTTACCCTGCGGTCATTTCGGGGAACAACGTGCCTGCGGCCCGCTCTCTGACCAGGCCCCCTGGTCTTGTTATTGAAGATGGTTGGATGATTCTGTTTCTGACTTGGATGAATACTCGCCTATCTTGAGCTAATCTTGAGATGATTTCGGGGCTTAGCATCCAAGCAGCCTGGTCCTCAACCAGGCCTTCTTTTTGTTACATACCTCCCCAGGAAGAAGCCCATAGCAGTTGTCTAGCTCCCAGGTACTTATTTACTGCTAGGTAATGGGGGCATCAGGGTGAAAGAAACTGCCCATTTGTTTTCGCCTCCACCGGGGATCGAACCCGGAACCTCAGGACTACGAATCCGAGGCGCTGTCCACTCAGCTGTCAGGTTTCCCAAGTACTCATTTCAGGACCTAGTACTGTACTCACTTCTGCATTAGTAATTAGTGAATGAGCACTGCATGAGTACTGAGTGGTGGCATTTGGTCGTGCCTGAGAATTGTTCATGATGGACGTTTTCAAGAGATTCTGATTGTTAGTTACATGTGGTCATATTAATTTGGAGTTCTCAGAGGTAACTGAGGTCTAACCCTTTGGGCTGGATGGTAGAGCGACGGTCTCGCTTCATGCAGGTCGGCGTTCAATCCCCGACTGTCCAATTGGTTGGGCACCATTCCTTCTCCCCGACCCATCCCCAATCCCAATCCTGATTACTTCCAAGTGCCATATAGTCGTAATGACTTTGCACTTTCTCCTGATAGTTCCCTTCCCCTTTCTAGGCCTAGTAGAGCAGACACACAGTATATTAGGCCTAGGAAGATTAGGTTTGTTTAGTTTGTCTTTGCAACATAAATATAAAATCTTTTCTGGTTTGTCTAAATTCAATAGTACTGATTCCTACTTTCTAATTGCATTGTACATCCGTATATGTACTATGGTCCTCAGCGTTACTATAAGTACAGTATTACCAAAACAGGAGGATGGGCTGGATTGTCCCGAGATTATCTTAAGGAAATTAGACACCCTCCTAGGTAAAGAACTGGGTAAATACCCTGACAGTGATGTGCTTGACCACCAGGCCATTAAAGGTCCCATCCAGTGTGCCCCCCCCCCCCTCACTCTTCTGCCTAGTGCCCTCAACCCTGGCCTAGGTAGCCTCTGCTGGGCTTATCGTCAGCTTCTCAGTTTCACCTAAAGTGGTGTTGGCTTTTCCTGGAACCTTACATTCTGCTGCTTTGTTTTTGTCTTTACTTCAAGATTGTGTTTGTCACAGATGTGTTTCACAGGGTGTATGTGCCTTGTGCAGGCGATGAGTCACAATAACGTGGCTAAATTATGTTGACCAGACCACACACTAGAAGGTGAAGGGACGACGACGTTTCGGTCCGTCCTGGACCATTCTCAATTCTCTGTATGTGCCTTAGCTTTCCATTCCACTTGTAGCCAGGGCTCTCTCTCCTGGGATTTCTTTTAACGACCAGGCCTCCTCTTTAAAGTATTTTTCTTTTTCTTTATCAGGGAGCCTTTGGCGCTCTTCAGAAAATTTGTGAAGACAGTGCCGAGTTTTTAGAGAAGAGCCCCGACAGGCCTCTTGACACTTTAATTCCAAAGTTCCTTCAATTCTTCAAACACTCCTCCTCGAAAATAAGGTAATTACCATAATTATTATTTTAATGTATTTTTTGTAATTTGGAATTGTATTTTCTGCATTTATTTCATATTTAATTATTACTTAAGAGTACTGTAGAGTAGTTAGTTATTATAAAGGTTTATAATATATATTATTATTGTTTATATTGTTAAAATTGTGCTGTACAGTAATTGTTTAAATAAATAGTATCATATTTCCAAATGATACACTTGTTGACCAGACCCCACACTAGAAGGTGAAGGGACGACGACGTTTTGGTCCAGGACGGACCAAAATGTCGTCGTCCCTTCACCTTCTAGTGTGTGGTCTGGTCAACTTACTTTAGCCACGTTATTGTGACTAATCACCTGAGTCACTTGTTTTTTTAATATATATTACTGAGAATTTTCCCTGCTTGTAGAGAAAGGAAAACAGTTGGGTGTTCATTCTCTTTGTTTCATTATTATAATCTGTTTGTGTTTATTCTGTGAGACCCGAGATGAGGCTGGGCAAACAAGTGAGGTAGCTACCCACTCAACTCTCCAAGGTTTTTGTGTGGAGGAAATATTTGATTTAAAAATCACAGTTAAGCAACAATAGAAGAACATTCAAACCAGAAGTGACTCAAAATGGTAAACAGTGGATAGGTAGTTCAGTAGATACGTGTAAACATATTTTTTATGTAAAGAAATAACCAATGTTGCTGGGAAAATCACAGCTGGGAATAAGCAAATACCCTAAAGGACAAAGAGCAGTAGAAAGGACAAAAGGAGCAACGCACCAGTTACGCCACTGTCTTGGGGGTTGGGAGATTCTCTTATTGTCATGCCGCAGAGTTAACTTCAAATATCCAGCTTGCAGTTTTTAGCATAGACCAAGATGTGAGACAAGAGAAAACATGAAAAAGAGAGTAAATAAGATGGGCCAACTAGAGAGAAGTGGAAAAGCAATAGGAAGATGGACAGCAGTGAAGAGCTAGTAAGATTGATGGAAGTCAACCAGGCAGTATGGGACCCCGTGATGTAAAACTGAGATCATGATGAGAAAGGAGAATAAAAACAAATGAAGGCATTATGGAGGAATAGAGCTAGACTTTAGACGAGTTAAAAAGGGATAAGAAGTAATGGAGACGAAGGTGGGAAAAAAATAGTTGGAGATAGTTTATAATAGACAATTACTGAAATAGTAAATGGGGTAAAAGAGGCTATCTGAATAGAGAAATACAACCATTTGAAATCTGAATATGACCATAGAGAAAGTGAACATGAAATTTAAGTAGGAGTAGAAATGGAGACGAGGGCTGAAGGAGATAAATTGAAGTTCATGAACCAGGGCAGGAACAAGTGTGTCAGTGAGCATGGGGAAAGGTTAAAGTTTCCTTAACCTTTCCTTGTACTCATTGTTTTATCTTCCCATTTCTTACATAGAGGAACATAGAATTGAAAGGATGGAATAAGAGAAACTGCACAAAGATTAAAAAAAAAAAAAAATAGATGTGACAGATGGGGTCAGGAGCCAGCGAGGACTTGCAGTAGTTGACAAATGTTGAGAGGTACTGTAATTTTAATAATAAAGGCAACAGTGATAGTTGATGACAGCTCAAATAAGGTCGTGACCTTATTTATGACCTAACCTTAAACCTTACCTTAGGTTGTGACCTAAACAAGAAATGGAAAGGAAGCGATCAGTTATTATAAACAACCTGGCAGAACCAGAGGGAGCCACATGCAAGATGGAGACTGAGAAGAGTTGAAGGGAATCCCGGACAAAGTGCAGGCAAGTTGGGCAATCCAAGAAATAAAAAAAGTTTGGATAGGTCCAACATAAATGACAAAAGACCAATGATGCTTACCTTCTAAAGGAGTCACTCAGTGAAGTAAATACTGGCAGAGAAGAGAAGTTTGAGGGGAAGGGGGAACCACAGCCGGGTGTTGTTCAGCTACTACTACACATGTGAGGAAGAAAGAGGATATAGACAGGCTGGGAAAATTGCAGGGGAATGGAAAGACAGGCAGTAAATGGAGTTAGCAGGGAGCAAGATGGGAGGCTTGGTCAGGAGGATAATAATGGGCCCAATCAGACTGGCAAGGAAAAAGGCCACCCTAGATGAGGTTCTGGGAGTTCTACCATTACCCAAGTCCTTGACTTTTAACACTTTTGCGTTTTGGGCGAGCGAGTGCCTGACCACTCCAAGTGGCACCTGGCGTACCACAGGCGCGCGTGGCAATACAGGAAAGTGTATGCTCTTTTCAACTTTGGCATCTCGATTCTTGTCCTAGGTCTTTCATTTTGGTATCAATGTGTTCACAATTGAATTCTCTACAGGACTAAAGTCCAAAAGCCTGGCATACCACTCGCACCAAACAGAGAAAGTGTGTGCGCGTTACCCGTGAGCACTCGTCAAGAGCAATAAAATGTGTACACTCTTTTCACTTTGATTACCTAAAGTCTGGTCCTAGGTTTTTCATTTTGAGATCAATGTGTTCACAATAGAATTCCCTACAGGAGTATATGCATATAATGTAAAAAACCGCTGTGTGCTCCACCCGCAGACAAGATGAAAACAGGCCATGCGTTACCTGCGAGCGAGCACCTGACCACCCCAAGGTGGGCCTGGCATTCCACAGGAACGTGTGGTAATACAGAAAAGTGTACACTCTTTTCAACTTTGTCATCTCAATTCTCGTCCTAGGTTTTTCAATTTGGTATCAATGTGTTCATAATAGAATTCTCTACAGGACTAAATACATATAAAGTCCAAAAGCCCAGCATACCACCCGCAGCAAACAGAAAGTGACAGCGCGTTACCCATGATCGTTCATCAAGAGCAATAAAATGTGTTCTCTTTTCAACTTTGTCACCTCAATTCTCATCCTAGGTCTTGCATTTTGATATCAATGTGCTCCCAATAAAATTCCCTACAAGAGTATATGCATATAATGTCCAAAACCACGCTGCTTCCCATCCACAGCCAAGCCGAAAGCAGGCCAAATTGTTTAATTTTTGACGCTATACTGCGTTGTTCCCACACATTCGTCAACTAATTTTTAGAAGCCATACTGCGTCATTACTGAGCGAAAGTGTTAAGAGCTTGGTCCAACAGGCTGTTGCTTGGAGCAGCCCGCAGGCTAAAATATCCACCACAGCCCAGTTGCTCTGGCACTTCTTGTAGAAAACCAGGAATGGGACCAGCCCAAAAAGAGAACCTAACTCCCAGGAAGAAACTAAGCAGCCCAGTAGAAATTAGTAGTATAATAATTAGGTACACAAATGCAGATAGCATTACGAAGAAATGGGTAGAACTGCATCTTGATAATGCAGTTAGAGACAAAACTGACAAGTGCAATAGTTTCAAAATATAACTATTTTTAGAATAGTTTTTTGTGTGCATTATGGGCCTGCCAGTGTTTAACAGGTGATCAGTGCAGAGGATAAGTGTCAATAATAAACTTGTGTAATTCACTAGGGAGTAGAGTAGACTATGCACAGTTTAAATGTAGATATGTTAGAGGCCAGTAGCTCTGAACCTGTATACCAGTTGTCAGTCTTTCAAGAGAGTGGGGTGGGGGGGGGGGGGCAAAGAGCCAATGCCATGTCAAGCCTGGCCTCAAGCCGGGCTTGGGGAGTTACTCCCAGGACCCCATCAAGCAGGTATCTACCTACCTAACCCCCCCCCCCCTCAGCAAGCACAATTAGGCAAATACACCCCCCCCCCCCCCTGCTCCTCCAACCATTTGGGCTAGATGGTAGAATGCCGGTCTCACTTCATTCAGGTTGGTGTTCAGTCCCTGTCCGTCCAAGTGGTTGGGCACCATTCCTTCTACCTGTCCTGTCCCAAATCCTTATCCTGATCCCTTCCAAGTGCTATATACAGTAGTCATAATGGCTTGGTACTTTCTCCTGATAATGGCCTTCCCTTCACCCTTGCCAACTATAACCATCCAACCATCTCCATGCTCCCCCCCCCCCTCTCCCTCTGCTACAATCTAAGCATACCTTACCTTGAGGTTACCTTGAGGTGTTTCCGGGGCTTAGCGTCCCTGCGGCCCGGTCGTCGACCGTAAAGCATAGTTTAGTACCATGTACAGTATTTTCACGAGGGCAGAAAATAGATACTTATCATATTTTTTGTCGTTGGTTTCAGATCTCATGCTATTGCGTGTGTAAATCAATTTATCATCAGTAAAACACAAGCTCTCATGGAAAACATTGATGCCTTCTTACAAGTAAGTTTGACATTTGTTTATTGTTATTGTTTTTGGTTACTTGTCTTCCTCCTGTGATTGGGAGAGTTGAGTGCTGGTATAATGTGTAATTACTTCAGTATAGTTACAGGATGAGAGCTACTCGTCTGGTGTCCTGTCTGCTCAGTAGTACTGTCATGTGACATTTTGTAACTAATGTTCTGCACTTAGGATTTTGCCCTCCACCACCACCCATCTCGCTTAACTTGTCCCAACCGTTTACCACTGCAATGATAAAGTTTCTAATGTTTTTTCAACAGCTTTGTTTCCTTATTTTGAACCTATGTTCTCTTGGTCTTAGAAGTTGCCATTTTCAAAATTGTTCTTGGCCTTTTTTGTTTCTATTTTCTAGCTTTGGTATATTTATGCCTCTGACCTCTCTCTCCTCTTAGATCTTTTTTTTTTCCAGTTCTGGGAGCCATTTAGTTGCATGTCTTTGCACCTTTACCAATTTATTGATGTGCTATCTTGAGATAGGGCATCATACAACACCAATGCATCATACAACATATGTAAAGCATGTTGTATTCCAAGTTTGGCCTCACAAAATCGTGAAAAATTTCTTTAATATATCATCATCCATGTACTTAAAAAGTGATTCTGAAGTTGAAAAGTGTAGCGAACACTTCACACAATATTCTTTGTGGTGAGAAAATCAGTAGGAGCTGTGATGAGGATTTGAATCTATTCCCTGGATACTCCCAAGCACATGCCTTGGAACCCAGCGCATAGGTTTGAATGTTCATCACGGCTCCTACTGATTTTCTCTTTGATACATCAAGTTAATATTCGCAATTTCTCCATATTCTTCGTAGTCCTCGGGTGATGGTTTTTCTATTAGGAACCACCTCTAGATATTTCTTTATCAAAATTCTTTAAAGGTTTTTCATATAATTGGTAGATTGTGTGTGGCCTATTTTCTCCTATTCCACATTCTATAACATGACATTTATTCCAATAAAATTCCATTTGACAAATGTTGCTCCATACACTTACTTTATCTAGGTCTTCTTGAAGGCATGCCAGTCTTCTTAGTTTCTGGGGTTCCCTAGTAGTATTGCATCATCATCAAACATTTTCTTATAATTCTGTATTCTTTCTGGTTGAGGATTTATATAGACAATGAACATGTGCAAAAACTGAACCTTGTGGTACTCGGCTAGTAACATTTGTCCAGTCTGATGCGTTGCTTCCGATTACTGCCCTCAAGTTTGTAAACGCAAATTTCATCCATCTCAGGAGTCTACTCGTCACTCCTGTATGTTCCAGTTTCTGGAACAACTTCTAATGTGGGACTATTGAAAGCCATTTTGGGTCCAGATAAGGGTCAACCCAACCATCATTTTCCTGCAAGATCTGTGACTATGATAGAAACTAAATGAATTTGTTACACAGGATATTTCTGATTGAAACCCATACTGTCTGTTAACATTTTTCTCCAGGTGTTCTGCTCATTTGGCTTTGATTATTTTTCTAATATTTTGACTACTATGCTTGTCAACAATACAGGTCTATAGTTTAGCCGGTTTCCCTGCTACCATTTTTGTAGATTTGAACTGTGTTAGCCTTTTTCCATATGACTGCCGAGAATCCTGTGCACTAATGACTGAAAACTCAATTGAGGTGGAATGCTGAGCTCTGCTGTACATTCTCTCGGAACTCAAGGTGATACTCTATCTGGGCCAACTACTTTGTTCCTACTTGGCTCCTTGAGCATTTCTCCACTTTATCTCTAGAGACTCCTTGTATTCCTTTGTTCTATGAGAAGTTTATTTTGCATAAGCACTCTTTGGAACTGTTCATTTAGTGTTTCACATATTACCTTTTCATTCTTCATGAATCTGTTCGTCATTTTCAACCTCTAAAATTTGCTTTTACATAATTTATAGAATAGGCCTGAATCTGTCTGCTCCTGAAGACCAGATAAAAGAATTATGCAAGGATAAGAAACTCGAAACTAAAGGGAAAAGTCCTGGAGGAGGAAAATACATGATTAAATTTAGTTGAAGATGAATCAAACCTAGATGTTACTGTAGTGAATTTGATAACTTAGGCAAGGAATTTGAACAGGCAAAAAAGAGCTTTTGTCAAAGAAAATGGTGGTAGTTACACAGCATATAGAAAGGTGCAAGGAAGTATGCAGCTACCCCATGCACTAGTGGCCAGAGAAAGAAATATTAGAAGTGGTTAAGGAAGTGACCAAGCAATGACAGGAATCTGTAAGATCTCTACCTAAATCGTTCATGAAAAAGCCAATACAGTGTGTATTGTAGATAAACCAAGATAATCCAGTAAAGCATGATCCTGGAACCTGCCATTATAAATATATACACCCAAGTAAGTGCAGGAATATCCTGAATACACACAAATGTTGCTCTGAATATGGCACATTTTTCCACCCAAATTGTGTAAAAATTCCCTAAACAAGGAATGTTTAACAGATTGTCGAGCATTTCATATCAAAGCAAGCAAGCTAATAAAATTAAAATCGTGCCATTATGAACACAACAACAACCATACATACCAGGAAGATTTCTTAGTGAGAGAGGAAAAGAATGGCAAGAAATGTCAAGACTCTACCATCAACATGGTCAAATGATGATCAGTACACACACAGTGGCACCCTTACAGATATTAACACACACAGCAGATGTAGTTGAAACCAGCAACTTCACGAACAAGGCGACTCGGATTCATGCTAAGGAAACAAAGGTGCCGACAAAAATATTAGGAAGTTTTCTTTTGCGAACTGAGTCGTAGACGGTTGGAACAAGTTCAGTGAGATGGTGGTGGAGGCCAAGACCGGCAGTAGTTTCAAAGCGTTATACGACAAAGAGTGCTGGGAAGACGGGACACCATGAGTGTAGCTCTCATCTTGTAACTACACTTGGGTAATTACAATAAGATAAACCAGCACTTCAAGAATACGATAACATCTTTGATATCTGCCAACATACAAGGCATCAAAACATGCAAAACAATGTCCACTTTGTAACTGGTCTTCTAAATGAGGCAAATGCAATGTTTCCAGCTTTAACTCAAAATTCATAGACTGGACTATTACAACAGTGATATATGCATATCAGAATTCAATCTTTTCAGATGTGATAGGAAACATAGGCTGCAAGGTGAGGGGTCAGCCTGTATATGTAAGACACTGAGCTGCTAAACACTACAAATGATACGGTGGAAGTGCTGATAATCAAAATTAAAATTTTAGATGTGGTGATTATCCTTGTATATAAATCAGTCAAGAGAAGAGTTAAAAGCAGTGACGAACGGGGGTGATGTAAGGCTGCGTTCTTGCCCCAACACACTTTAGCATAGTATTCTCAACCATGAGAATACAATGGGTTGTGGGAGTTGGAGAGGGTTGTGGGAGTAGTTGTTCTACCCGAGCCCGGCTTGAGGCCTGGCTCGACTTGTAATAACTTGGTCCAACAGGCTGTTGCTTGGAGCAGCCTGCAGGCCCACATATCCACTACAGTCTGGTTGGTCTGGCACTTCTTGCAAATCTTTTCCAAGTGCCTCTTGAATACATCCACCTTTGTTCCAGCAATATTTCTGATGCTTGCTGGAAGGGTGTTGAACAGTGGTGGACCTCTGATGATCAGATGGTGTTCTCTGATTGTGCCTATGGCACCTTTACTCTTCATTAGTTCTATTCTGCATTTTCTTTAGTGTCTTTTGCTCCAGTATGTTGTTGTTCTACTGTACAAATTTGGGACCTGGCCTTCCAGTATCTTCCATGCCTTTATTATTTGATACCTTTCTTGTCTCCTTTCCAAAGAGTTCATTTTAAGAGCTTTGAGAGAGTCCCAATAATGTTTTATTGTTTCTATGCATGCCATACATGTTCTCTGTAATTCCCTCTAATTCAGAGATCTCTCCTGCTCTAAAAAAAAGGGGGGAGCGAGTACCGAGCAATACTCAAGATGGGACAGCACCAGGGATTTAAATAGTATTAGCATTGCTGTTGAGTCTCTGGATTTGAATGTTCTCACAGTCCATTCTGTCATTTTCCTGGCTGCCGTTATATTTGCTCGGTTATACTGTATTCACTAAATGTCAGGTCGTCAGACATAATTCCCAGATCTTTTACATGTTTTCCTTCTATGCATCTGATTGTGTCCTGTACCCTGTGTTTCGTTTAAATTCCTCGTTTCCACCATACCTATGTACCTGGAACTTGTCACCGTTAAACATCATGTTATGTTCAGTTGCCCAATCGAAGACCGTATTAATATCTGCCTGCAGTTTTTTAATGTCTTTTACAGAGGAAATTTTTTAGCTGATTTTTATATCTGCAAAGAATGACACAAAGCTGTGGCTAATATTTTTGGCTATATCCGAGATTAGAATGAGAAATAGCAGCGGTGCAAGAACTGTGCCTTGGGATACAGAGCTTTTTACTGCAATTGGGCCTGTTCTTATTTGATTGATCATCACTGCATTCTGTTTGACAAAGTTGAAAATCAAAACCCCACTTTACCCGTTATTCATTTTGATCTCATTTTATGGGTTACTGTATCACTCCATGGTCACATTTGTCGAATCCCTTTGCAAAGTATGTGTATTCAACATCTCCATTCTGTTGGCCAAACCACGCACTTGAAGATGGAGACGACGACATTTCGGTCTGTCCTGGACCATTATCAAGTCAATTGTGACATCAAATGTCTCCATTCTGCTTTTCTTCTAAGGCGTCTGAGATTTTGTCAGTGATTGAGTAACTGTGACAGACAGGATCTTCCCGCTCTAAATCCATGTTGTCCTGGGTTGTTCAGTTCATTATTTTCAATCAAACTAGAAATTTGATTCCTAATCACACTTTCAAAAACTGTGTGATAGTGCAACTGGTCCATAATTTTTGGCCAAAGCTTTACTACCTCCTTTTGAATAGCAGAGCTATATCTGCAGATTTAAGTGCTGGTGATATCTTCCCTGTATCCAGGCTCTTTCTCCATATTACACTGAATGCT